TTGCTATTAACCAATTTTCACCATTAAGATTTTTCTAACAGAAATTACAAGCTGCAAGGGGAGTAGGGCAATGAATTGTACACAGTGTACAGCAGAACAAGAATTGGGGCTGGATTCAATCATTAAAGAGGTTCGTTCTGTGCATGTAAACAGTCAAGTGCAATTCTATTAGTCTTTTTCCGTTATTGTTCTCTTTTGATACACTGGGCCTAACATAAAACTAAAAACTGGAGAGATGATTTATTGACTGGTGGGTTTTAAAATTGACTCTTATAATATTAGAAAATGCAAAACTTCTTTTTTATGAGTATTCCAGTACACAGTGGAAGCAGAAGCACTTATTACAGCAATCTCATAGTCAGACATTGTACAAATGACAAATGTATATACTATACTTTCTTTTCAAAGATAAACATTACACACCCTTTTTATATAAGATTCCTTTCAAAACCAACTTTTGGTTGATGGTATCTGTTCAAGCTATCAAAATCCATCCTTCTTCTCAGATTCTTCTGAGCTATCCACTTAATTGTGAAACTAGAATGAAAATACTTAGGCTTTTATTTTCTTTAAAAAAAATTTCTGCATGAATGAATTTCAGTCATATAAAATTAAGTATGAACACTACTGATGATGCAATAAGGATGACACATTTTGCACAGCTGATAAAAGGGAAAATTAAGTGCATGTTAGTTTGTCATATTCCCTCAAGTAATATTTAAAACTGTTGTTTTTTCTTTTTTTTAATGTCACTTACACATGCAATATTTGCAATTGTTTGATGAACCGCATTGCATCATTGGAAAATGTACATGAAAACCTTAAAAACACATTGCACAAAGACAGTACAACAACAGTACCTGGATTTTAATAGTTCAGGTAGGTAGCTGCGTCAGCATGCCTAGGCTGCAATGGAACAAGTAATATGTTTATTCCATGCTGAAAAGAGAAAAAAGAAAACAACATTTCGGCCGTAGAGCCTTCTTCAGGTGTCAGGTGCTTCAGGTGTCCACACCCCAAAGAAGGCTCCATGGCCGAAACGTTGTCTTTTCTTTCTTCTCTTTTCAGCATGGAATAAACCTATTACTTGTTCCTGGATTTTCATGACCACATCAGAATCTGTTTATGCATTAATGTCAACATTTTTTACCAATAAAACTACAACTACTAGTACTCTTTGTATTTTCAACAGATTGGCAAGAAGACTGAAGATTTGCTTTAATTTAGTCCTTAATAAAACCATATGCCATCTGCAATCACTAAAACGCCTAGCTGAACAATTCAATAAACATGTATCAATTAAACTCCCCTTAAATATAACGCGATCCCCTAAACAATACACATGTAGAATAAACCAAGTAAGGCCATGTGACACGGCTTGTGAGAAACAGCTCCCTTACATTCTCAGGGTTTTTTATTGTGTAGAAAATCTAGTACGCCATAATCATTTTCTGATATTCTGATGTTTTTTGAAGCTCTGTAATGAAACCTGCAGTGTCTTAAATGCTTATGCTTGCAACTCTCATTTCTATTCCTGATCTACAATCCAAACCTACCCACAGCACAATCCCAGACTGCTGAATCAAGTCCAACAGTGAGAGAAGAGCGCTTGCCAGAATGTAAATGATCTGAAGAATCAATGCTCTCCCCAACCTCAGTCACGCTGTATTCAGCATTATGATCTGACTCTAATCCACTTTGTGACATGTTTATACATACAGTTCAGCACACAGAGACAGGGTCAACCAAAGATTTTACATTCCAAGACACAGTCAATTTCCTACATGCAACTTGAATAACAATCTGTCTTATAACAACTGCCTGCACGTCTGTGCTTCATGTCTGTAGCGTCTTAAAGTCAGCGTATTCTTAAATGGCAAAAGTAAAACATTTTTCGGAAGCCACAATATGTTTCCTCCAGGTCTTCAATATCGTTTTCTCATGATTACAAAGCACACAACACACACAAGCTCCATTTGTTTTTTTAAACATCTAGATACAAATGAAGGATGGAGTACTTTCTGGGTAATACTGCATATTTCAAGGAAAACGTTGTATTTAACAATGGCCATAGCTCCATATAGCATTTACACCCACACACACTGGATTGAGAGAGAGATTCCAAGTTTATCGGTGCATGTCCTTAAAATACATAAGGAACAAAATGACAGAGACACATGAAACATGAGACTTGAATAGCTTACTGCTGATTTTTATAATTCCACCCTCATTCCTTATGGTACAGTATTTTGTTTTCAAAAGCAAGCCTTGTACTCCTTCATTTCTGTTTACAGTAAGGACACGTTGTAAACAAGAAACATTCAAATCAGCATCTTTTATGCTTTAAGTTAGTTGTGAGACACTTCTGTTTTCTCTCGTGGGTTTAATTACAATGCATTAGGGGTTCATATGAGATAATTCCACACCAATAGCTTCTGTGCTATTCTCTTGCCTCATCCTATGCATAAGTACCGCCACAGCTACACCCAGTGAGAAGATGGAAAAAGCTCATAGTGCAGCCTACAGAAGGCCCTGCTCAAGCACACGTCACTGTGGACTCATCATTCATTCCCCACTTTCGTCAAAATACACCAAGAGAAGAGTGCAACTGGTTTCGCAGTGAAAAGCAACTTGATAGATAATCCAATGTGACTGTATCAGACAGCTCATGCTAACTGATGGCAGCGCTTGCCATTGGTTGCAATGGTTCTGTACATCGTACCGAGAGTCTTCATCTGCCATGTCGGCAACACACACCAATGACATCAAGCCTTCAAAACAAAGCTACAGACAACACGGTTGAAGCATTATGCATGGAGACCAATGAGACTGTTAGAAACTACAAATTGAAACAGAATCTTTTGCAAGTTCAGAAAATGAAAACCCTTTGGGATGTCTGATGGTAGCTATAAAGGATTTTGCCAGTTGCGCTACCTTCAGAAAGCTTCAGAATTTCAAAACTGCTTTTCCAAACACAATAAAGAGCTATACTGAAGGTTAAAGCTGAGGGAATTTTCCTCCAGTTTCTTGCTAACAAGGACGCACAGATCTTTAAACTGTATCAGGATCAGGGGCAACCAATTGTAGTCCTGAAGGTCTGGAGTCTAGTAGATTTTAGAAGTACTTTATATTAGTGACTGATTAACACGTACATGTTGACTGATTTGACTTCTTAACTAAGCAACTTGTACATTTAATCTCTTATGTTCAAACTCTATTGTCTAGGAATTGACTACCACTGGCTTGAGAAGTAAATTTCTTTTAAAAAAAGGCTGATTTCTTTATATAGTTGGAATTACTGATTGTAACTTGCCTAAGGAATGAATCTTTATAGTTTTTACACGTTACGCATGCCTTTAAACAGTATCTTACTGGTAAGGAATGACCCAATATCTGTCCAAGGACTCCGCGATAGAAGTTTTTGTGTCACACTGACATTTGTAAACAGTAAACGGCAAAACGACACTGGCCTTCAGCGTAAGAAGAAATTAAACTCGAACTTCTTGAATTACTCCTGACAGTTTCAGTTGCTTTCAAACAGCACCAGAAATGAAGTAATGCCAGTCAGGGTGGAATTATGAATATATGTAAATCAAAATTAAAAACCTCTACTTGTCAATGTTATTCTAGCACAAATGAGACACTGACAACCTGCAGAAAGCAATTTACTGTCCAGACCTACCCCCCAGAAAGTTGCGGAATGTATTTACATGAACAACGCAGTCTATACTGTCATTTACCATTTTCAATTAGTGATTCAGTCAGTTAATACATTAATAAAACTGAAACGTTATGTTGCTCAAACCGAGACGTCTGTATAATGCCAGGTAGTGTTGATAGTTTCTTACACGATCCTTCCATTACTAGGCTCCGCAGTTGCTTTAAATTCTTGGGTCAGTTAATAATTACGATCATTTAGAATACATACAGAAATGAAGTTGTTTCCAACAGCTGTGGCACTGCAGAATACCATCATACAGCTATTTGTATATTTACTGCTATACATTTGGGAGACCCATACATGAGCAGCAACGCGAACAAGTGCAGATTCTTTGCAAGGCGTATAGAGACGGTAAACTCACGGGGCGTACAATACATACAGTATACAGTATACACCACAAGGTTCAATCGCATTCTTTTCACTCTTGGGGTAACGATTGACATATGCATTCTATACAAAAGAAGAATCCTTATTATTTAAGACAGAGATAATACACATATTTGTTCATAATACTGAAACTCCAAAGTCCAATAATCGAACCAGAAGTTACATAGCTCAAACACCTTATGCTGCCCCCACAGTCCTTTGTAACAATGATTCAACTGCAACCAGAAAAGCCTTTCTATGAGAACGATCTATGCTGGACTCGAGTCTAAGCACGACGTAACAAGCAACGTGTTTTCGAGAAGTTACACTGCTGCAGCATAATGCAATGTGTACGAATAGATAAATGACAGCAATACAATAGCTTTTATTTGTCTCTCACGTCTTCCTCAATAACACGTCATTACTAAACCTGCTTTTAAAGAATTACCACACGGTTGACTACGTCGCTCAAAGCAACACTCGATCTTGGCCGCTTCTCCTCAGCCGTCGAAAAATGAACATTTAAAAGTTAAAATATAATCCGAAAGAAAACAAAATGAACATTTACTTAATCGTATTGCCACCTGTGTGCATTTAGCTTAAGTGTCTCAAATAAGCTCATGGCTTCTTGGTACACAAAAACAGATTCAAACAATTTTTACGTTAAAAATATGAGATGTGTTCAGAAATTCGTTATTAAGCTTGGATTTGCCCGTAGAGATAAGGTCTATAAAAACCATGCATGCGTAAGTACTGTATGGGTTAATCATAAAGTGTGAGATCATGCAGTTAATGAAATACATATTACAAAGTTTTGGGAGGTGGGTCAGGGGACCGTATCAATACTCAAACTCTGCATCAACCTTCCTGAATGCAGCATGGTACTACTCATAGTTAGCCACAGGGAACTCACCGGCAGATCCACGTTCACATCTGTCCCATCCAGAAGCAGGACTCTGCACGTTATCACCGACTTGCTGTTTCCCGCAGCGGGGATATGAACGACTGCTCCCCCGCTCACCACAACCGGGGTGTGAATGAATTGCTGTTGATGAGCTTGAAGTGCAGCGATACCCCCACCTCCTCCTCCACCGGCCACTCTGCTCCTTCCGTCTCGCTCATCCGGCGTTTGGTACCTTCTCAATGACCGTCTGCCGAAGGTCCGACGCAGAAAACCCATCATCTTCGTTTCTTTCCTTTCCTTCTCCAAGGACCAAGGTCCGCGTTACTGTGACAACCAAACCAACCCCAGACTAGTATATTTTAAACACGTACAATGCCTTAATTCCAAATACAACGTACTGTAAGTACACCACCGACAGTAAGAAAAAAAAAGACTGTTGGTAGTACTACTTCTTTTAAATCCGGATACTTCCTAAGCCGAATGCAATAGTTGCGATACTCCCATGCAGATGTAAATAATAATGCAATCCAAACGTACAACGACGTAACAAATCAGTCTCCTGTTAATTTATATTCCTCCTGCTTGACCTGGAAAACAATGCCCCCAAAAATGTGTAACCCGTTTATATTTTCCTTAGCAGCTACTTGTCGCAAGTTCTCGTCACCTGCTGCTGCTGCTGCTGCTGCAGTGATTGATAGTTCCAGAGTGGCGGACCTAGTTACCCCGACCGCCTCTCCTCACAGTGAGAAAGCCCAAGCCACTGGGAACTCCGCAGCCTCAGTCACTTAACCTCGCTCTCTCTCCCTTCCTCTTTTTCCCTCTCTCTCTCCACCGAAACCGATTGTGACTCTCACAGGTAACTCGACCAGAGGAACTGGACAAACAGCTTGCTTTGCGCCTGCGTTAAACCAATATAAAAGCGTTCATTGGAAAGAGGTCTCTGAGCTAGCGGCATCTGCTGGAGAATAAAATTAATACTTTTTTCCTATGATTAATGATGAACGTAGGAACATAATGCCGAAGTAGCACTCTATTAATATTTACACTTACATGTGTTTTCAAGGGACTCGGCTAGTTACAAAACATTGAATTGAAGTGATGAACGGTGGTTAAAATGTTTTGCAATTCGGGTATACCGAAGCAAGACTACAAGTTCTCGACCTCAATTCTGAATGTAACCACTGTTAATTTCAAACCACATAGCATATTTGTAATTTGCACTAGAAATTCTCTTAAACCGTAATGACTGCCATATCCACAGCAGACTTCAAGGAATCATCTTGTGTAAGACAAAAGTTTTCAAATGTCAGAGTAATACTGAACACCGTCTTAACGCTTTTTAAAGCTGAATTTGAGCGTTTCGGTTAATTCTTAAATTGTTCAGACCTAGTCTTGTAAATTGGCACACTGTCATGCAGTAGCTATAGGACTGATTCAGCCTTCTCCTCTGGGTTCCAGTGGTGAATCCAAATCTCATCACCAATAACCGTACAAGACAAAAATAAAACTCAGGTATTTCAGTCTTGTGAGCTGAGGTTTCACAACACACATTTAGCAGAATGTTTGAACATAACAGGGTACTGTATGTTAACGCCAATGACAGAAAAGCCAAAGCTCCTTGCATACTGAGCTACAGTCATTTAACAATCAGACATTATCATGCTTTCTACAGTACGGCTTTGTCTGGGTGTCATCCAGACCTGGCTTCATTTTCGATTGGTTCTGTGCCACTTTTAAACTTCTTTGCCGTTTACATCACTGTAGAAAAATGAAGGACAGCTTGCCTTAATCCAGTAATTGTGTGAGAAAAAATACATTTCTCCATTTATACAAACGTGTTGACCATTGCTCAAGGTTTGAACAGGCCATCATTTAACGACCCTAGAAAGAGCAGAATGTCTTTAGTCATCTACAAATGGAAAAACAAACAGAAATCAAGGCATGATTTCAGCCTTCAATAATGAAAAGGAAATGGGCAGCAGTGACAACCTGAGTATTTGACTTACAAAACGTTTTTAATGCCCCTTGAAGTCGAGTGATTAAAGTAATCAGTCTTACAAAATCATTACTTAGCAAATTGATTTTGAATTTCCTATCAGGAATGCTAATTACAGAACAAAGGAGAGAATCAAGGAACTATTTATGTGGGAAAAATGTTGTATAACAAGAGAGAATAAAGAGATATTTCTGCTTTTTGGAAAAAAAAAACACTTTTAAGCTGCAGAAGTTCAAACATGCTGTATTTCTTTTCATACTTACATCTTTCTGCCATATCATGTGTATTTCTTAACCAATTATTTTCAGTAATCATCTATAATACTAACTTTTTGACTTTAACATATGCGCCTTTGAAAAGAATCAGCAGAGTACGAGTGCTGCAGTGCTTTGAGAACTAGTCAATGCTAAAACTCCATGCATGTAAGTACTACACCTATGATAGCAAGAGAAATTAATTGCTGTTTACTACTAATAAGATAATAAGATTTTTCATTACACATGAGAGGAGTGTGATGTAAGGGGATGTTAGACAGATCCCCAGTGTCTCCAGCTTCCTGGTGTTTCACAGAGCCCAATTCTCTTTTACAAACAGACCAAAGTATGCACCATTTTGTCCTGTAGGAAATTCAATTTTACTAAATGTTCAGCACCAGTAACTTGCAACTTAAACACTGTAGTGGATTGTGATCAATTGAAAGGCTGCTATCACACAAAACATCAAATATTGCCTTCTTTATATTTGTTGTATTCTGCGCTCAGTCTTTAAGATTTTGAGATCTACAGTACAGAAAATGGCCAGCGTCTGGAGAAGAGAAAGTGATTTTCACTAACAGGAAATGTCCAGTTCTACCTCCCAATCCAAGCATTTCTCTGTAGTTACAAATTTACCCAAACCCTTACAGTTGTACCCATAAATACAGTTGGGTATTTAACTAGTGCAATTTGGATGATGTGCCTTTACATTACAACTCCAGTGTCTCGCCTGGGTCCAGAACCTTAATCTTTGCTCCACACACTGCTCTCAGGACAATATGCAACAAGTTTGTGATCTGTTTCCTGTGTCCAAAAAATAGTTTAAGCTGGGGCCTCTATGACGGTTGTTCTTTGCAACGATGATTAGCATTGTTATTATAATTCCAGGTATTCATACAGCACTTTTCATCCCAAAAGATTTTTAAGTGCTTCACATACAAGAGGGGACCCACTTCACCCACCACTGAAGTGCAGCACTTACCCTGGTGACGCACAGTAGTCATTATACCCCAGCAATACCACAGCAGCGCAGGTAGAAAAGTGAGAAATTGCTTCACCAATTGAATTAAGATACATTTATAGATTTCTGAGAACTTTTCAAGAAACTGGATGCACTGAATAATATAAATATAAATATTATACTTCAATGTTATTGCTATTGTGTCTTCTAGATAGCACACTTCTGGCATACTGAGTACAGTAAGTAAGAGAGTTGGGGTAAGGTAAAATGCACAACCTCCAGAGAGTGGATTCAGTTGAAAGAAACGTGAATTACTTGAATGCCCCCTCTTCAGGCATTCAATATCTTTCTTTATCATTAAGAATTAATGTCCATACCATAATATAGTAAACAATAGGCACGGTTTATTAATACAAATACAAAAAGTATTGAGATTTTTCTTTCTAGCTTTCTGAAACCATGCCCAGCAGGCCTTTAAATATTTATATTCCCATCAGAAGAAAATATAAAATTGTGTGTGTGATGTGAAGCTTAGCAAATGTATTATCAAACATGCAACAGAAGTGTCAGAAAAAGAGAATACAATTGTATTAAACCTCTCTTTTCTCTGGGTGAGAAACAGCCCATTCTAGGGCCTAGTTAATGCTAATCTTTACATGCTATATGCATCAAAGAGGTTGTAACTGGGTCAAAGTCCATGCAGTATACACTTAATTTACTAACATCTGACTTTAACATATAATAGATCAAATGGATCTGCCTATCGTCAATATAAGCCTTAGTGTTTTATGGCATTAAGTGAAATTTAAACTTTCATCAGTGCAACATAACATCCTTAGGTTTGAAGACAGAGCTTGGCAGCATTTTTGGTTGTAAGGATGGATTTCTAAAAATAACAAGGCACAAGATTAAAAGAACAGAAGTATGGATTGTTTTTTACGCAATCAAGGAGAGGTATTAAATTGACACTGCTGGCACTTAGGTTTTTTACTTGAATGTGTTGGGGAAAATGACACCTAAGGGCCTCAACATCTTCTGCCTACAGTACATGAGCAAAACATCCAAGAAATCAAATATTATTCAGTTAGTTAGGAGTCTAATAGCCAGAAGAGTACAAACTACTTTAGTTCAAGGGTGTGAAAAGGACAAACAGCAAATGAGCCTTGTAACATTCATCGGTCTTAAAGGAGGTCGGGACAGTTAATCTGTTCCCATTTTTATGATGAAAGGACATTTTTAAATTTCTATTTTTCTCGATTTTACTTTTCAAACGAAGCTAGCGAACATCCAGTACACAGCTGCTCAACAGGAAGAAAAATTGTTAGTGGTTTATGCCAGGTGCTCTGCTGTGTGTGTATCTTCACTTAAACAGGCATCACACATCCTTTGATTCTTCTCAGTCTTTGTGTTCCTCCTTTCTTCACAGAAAAAAATTCATTATCACAGGATTTATCTATAGTTGGGACCACATTCAATCTAGAGATGTTCAGGAGCAGATTTATTTTATTAGCAACACTATGTGCTCTGTGTAGTGATGTCTTTCTGCAAACAGGTCCATATCAACTCTGCTCTATTTTTACCTCAGATCTGCGACGTCCCTTGGGAAGCATTTGCAGGACAATTGCGCAATTACATGTTAATGCCTTGTTTGCAAAAAGAAAAAGACATCTTCTGCAAGTACCAATAGTTACAAACCCATTGCAGTCTCATTACTAGGGTGACAGAAGCCATGCAAACAATTCTGCTCAAATTTATATAGAAAGCTTTCTGCATCTCCATTTTATTATGAACTACACACTTTACTGAATTCATTAACTGCACGCTTAGTTAGTTAGAGCCTGTCTTCGCTTTAGACATTGAAGGATTCAGAACTCGAACTTCAGATGTGATTGATTGCTAGTTTTGACATTTTTATCTGTGAAGCTGTCGCTGAAAACAAACCTTTTCAATCAATTAAGTACACCAAAAGTACATCAACATTGTCAGTGCAATAAAATGTCTACACTCAACGGTACGGAATAAAATCCTTAGATGTAAGCACAATGACAATTGCATATAGCCTACAAGAACCAGGGAAAGGTAAACTAATTTTTACAAAACATAATAACACATGCATATAAGTGAGCTCTCTTATATGTAAAGAGCTCTGGAATGAAAATAAATTAATTTCATTAATGCTGAATTACTGTTTTGAACTGGTGCCATGTTTCTGAGGACATGGGGTTGACATGCACTGTTCATTGGGTGTTTCAACAGATCTTTCATAACACAGGTGCTGAGGTTTAAGGAAGTAAGATTTTCAAAGGGTATCTGTTAAAGTCATGCTCTGTCCATTATGCTCTTCCAGTCCTGTTGGCTGCCTATTCCTTAACCCTGTACTGTGTGTATACAAAGCAATTGATAATGCTGAATATAATTATGTTCCACACACTAAGCTGGAATACTGTAGCTGAAGGACCATTTAGCCTGTAAATTATATTATACCGGATGAATAGCTTATAACGTAATCTTTTGTGCATTTCTCTCAAAGGCATGTTGAAATAATATAGTAGCCGGAATGCAGGGCTGAGTGTATTAAAAATCTATGGGAAATGTGTGGAAAATAAAAAAATGTATTCAAATCTGCTTCACTTTTAAATTGAGCAC